GAATGAAGACTTTTCAAAATGGTAGAAGTAAACATTCAAATATGTGAATGGGTCTAGTTCTTCTTTAAGTCCTGACATGTACTTGTTTACTGAGATGAATTTCGTCATCTTTTCTATCGGATAAAAAAATATTTTTTTAAAATTTACTCAGAAAAATTTTTCTTTGTATATACACCATTCTGAACATCTAAAAGACTTTTGACATTTGCCAAGAATGTACGTTTAGAAGCTGCCATAAACCATATTCTTGACAATATTGTTTATACGAATCGTACAATGACCTTTCATCTAAACACTCAAAGTCAGTTTCATCTATGAACAGTTCATATACACTCTTGTTTGCTTCTAACAATGTTTGTCTCTCTTCGGTATGTGGAATTTGTCTTGGATTGAACTTCGAAATATCTAATGTCATGAAATATGAGAACAAGTGGTTGTAAAAGTCAGATGTCAAAGTTTCTGCTAAGTCGTCAAAATATTCTGTATCTTGCATATGAGAATCTGACGTTCTGACAACTACATATCTTCTGTCAGAACTTTCTAACTTCATCGGAACAGCATTGTTTGAAACCATAATGAAGTTTGCAACATTTTCACAAACTCTTTGGTCTTTATATTTTCTTTCAACAACTCCAACTTTGTCTGTTATAAGACTCTTCAAAGCATCTGAGTTCAAAATTTTTGTTGTATCTATACTTTGAAGTTCATTGCAAACTATAAGTTTCATATTCTCTATTGAGGAGTTAAATTTACCGCAGATGTTTTCTAAGTTTGTCATATTCGGATTCGAATAGCCCTCTAACAGTTTGCACAAAATATCTGTAAAGAAAGTATTCTTACCAGTTCCTTGTTTTCCAATTATAATGAGAGCAGTTTCATTTTTAGCACTTGGATGTTGTAAGATGTTTGCAAACCAACATAAGATATACTCATAAACTCTTTCGTTTCCATTGCATATAATTTCTTTGACATGGTCTAACCAAGCTTCTATAACATTTTCTTTCCATTCTACTTGTTCGTATTTATATCCAGTGAAGATAGAATAGAAGTTTGGAGATGGCGTATAGAACTTTATACCACGAACTGAAAAATCTTCTAACTTTGACAATAAGATATCCCAAGCATCTAACATCTTCATACCAACTTGTACGACTTTTATTTTCTTAAGTTTCTGTTTACATTCTTGTTCTGAAACTATTGTCGCTTTAGGTTTGTTAAAGACTACATCCCATTCTTTCATAACATAACATTCTGGGGCAGAGTCAACATAAATGACTAAACGTTTCAAATTCTCGACTGCTTTGTTATAGTCTCTAAATGGACACATATTTCTGAAGGCTTGGAAGTCATAAAAATCTGAAACATCTATTCTGTACATTTTTATAAAAATAAAAAAAATATTTTTTTTATTCTTGACTTTGTTGTTCCATTTGTTGCATTTGTTGTTCTTGAGCTATTTGTTGTTGAAGTTGTTCTTGTAATACAATACTTTCACCAGTTGCATCTTCCAATTCGAAACTTTCTGCCGTCATTGACAAATACATAGGACATAAAAGTTTTACAGGAACAAAGTTTGCGTCAACTAATGTCAACGTTATACTTGCCAAAGTGTTTGAGTTCACTAAGGTTGAAAATTCTGCATTCGAATGAACAATAGGCAAACCAGCAGAGAAAGTATTGTTTATACGCATAAGTATCTTTTGGTCATAATAGTTTCTGTCGACATTCGAATAACACTTTGAACCTAAGTTTGAAACAATATATAAGATTGGTGTACTTAAAGTCAATGGAATAGACAAACCTTGTATGACACCTTTTCCTGTTATAGGAAATTGTTGGTAGTAAAAACCAGAAATAAGTTTTGTATTATAGCTCATATCGTTTATAGTAAACTCAGTCGGACATCCAAACATAATGAAACCTGCTCTAGTTGCAGCACATGTTACATCCGTCCTTAAAGTATTAAATAAGTCAACAAAACCTGTTGGTGGTATATCTGAGTAAGTATCTTCAAAGGAGTATTTTTTACCATTCACAACAACAAAGTCTTTGGTGTCAAAAGAGCAAAACAGGCTTTAGTCGTCATTGTGTTTAAGGTTAGTTTACAATATCGTCCTTGAGGACTTTGTAAGTTTGTTGTTATAGAATTATATGACTCAGGGTTTTTAGTCGTAATAGTATAAACCACTATGTCTTCTGCCATTTTTATATATTTAAAAGTTTTTCTGAAAGTGGAGAAGAACTTCATCTAAACTTTCACATGGCGTTTCTTGAAGTTCTCTGTCTAAGAAGTTCAAATATTTTGTAAAGACATAGAACTTTCCTTTGTCTACACGAACAAACAAAACAGGGTCTTTCATATCGTTCAAAGTGTGTAAAGTCCTTTACATGAAATAAAGTCTATATTATTTTTTCTTCAAACATCTTTCAAGAAGTTTTGACATTTTTACTTAGCAAATAAATTTTAATGAAATGTTGTGGTCGTCAAATATTTTTATAACGTCTGGGAAACTATATTTTAAGTTCAACGTTTCACCTCCTTTCATAACGTATATCTTGTCAATGACATTATATGAAACACCCAGCAAGCAATGTGTCGGTTTCTATTTCTTTGATGTTTATATCGTCTGCCTCTGTCAAAAGTTTCAATTAGTTCTTTCAAAACTTCATGAGGTGCGATGACATATGAGTTCACTTTTACAGGGTTGTGTTCGACCAAGTTTAACATTATACCTAAAGCTTGACAAATCTTCTCTCTGAGTTTTAAGTTTGTCTTTAAGTTGCATGTAGTCGTTTCGAATATCTGCAACAGAACTTAAGTCTCTGCTAACTTCAGGATATGTGGTTGTTCTTTTACAGGAACTATTGTTATACCATCTTCGTCTTCGTATGGTTTCCCCACTTCAACATCTCTTTCTTTGACATTGACAACAACACTTTGACTGTTTGTTTGAGTTGGTGAATTTAACTTCACATCTGCCACCGCCATTAAACCTTTTGAAACACTTACGCTTCTATTTTTCGGAAATGACATTTTACTTAGAATAAAAAGATGGACGTATTCGGATATCTTATTGAATTGAAGCAAACAAAGTTTATACTCACAAACAATACAAATACATTGACAGAATAGTTCTTTACACAAACAATGGAAAATGTTATAGAATAGCAGTCTTTGCTGAACCAAAATATTTTCATAAAGCAAAGAAAGTTGGTATAACTTGAAATGGTGAAAGTTCTTGAAGCAGACAAAAATATAACAACAAAACTGACCGATATTTCTAAAGGTAAGTTATAATACAATACTATGTCAAACTGCTGGCGTACTGTCAATTTGACGGAGAGAAGTCAGTTCAAGAACAACTTACTGACCTGCTGCCAAAATCTGCTCGATGGAAGCTGTCGTTATACCAATCTGAGGAGCCCCAGCAGGTTTCATCGAACGAATCTTCAAAAGAGCATCTTCCGTGAAAAGTGCTATTGGTTTTGTAAACTTCTTTGCTTTCAATTCATCTGGACCGTCTCTGTCACCAGTATATTGTATTTGAACTGTACCAACAGTTGAAATACCACCCATAAAGTCTTCTGAGTCAGCAAATGGAATGCCAACCAAAAGTTTGAACGGTCTCCATTTGTATATTGAGTTTTTTGACCTCCTGTATGAGTCCATACTTTCACATATGCATAATAGAACTTTGCATTTCAGGGTTAATGGTTGTTGTGAAGTTGTTGTTAAAGTTCATAGCATCTAATGTCAAGTTGTATGACCTCATATCCTCAACTGTAGAATATTCTTCTCTTGGATAATATTTGCCATCTATGTTTATATGATATTTAATACCAGGCTTGTAGAAACAAGAATAGTCATTTATAGTTCGTCTGAACAGTACAAACATAGTATCTGCATGTTTCATTGCAGTTGTTAAGGCAATATCTGTTCTTGCACCTGGGTCAGCACTTTGGTTTCCAACTTCACCTGCAAAGTCTTTGACAGATATTTGGTGTATAGGGAACATAAGTGGAACTGCAATATATTTGGCAGCTAAAGCATTTGAAATATCTGGGTCCAACATATAGACTGCAAGTCTGCTTTCTATTCTCTTGCATTCAAATTTTTCGCATGTGAACTTAACTGGGTCCCAAGCAGTTCCAGCAGCATTGAAATAATAGTTTACTTCAGTGTTGAGGTTTGAGAAACCAAAGTCTAAGTCAACCTTATCTTTGCAAAATTCGGCGAATGACGTTTGATTTGCTCCCTTTACGTCTGTAAGAGTGAATGGGTCTTGTGTTGGTGCAATGACTAAGTTATTTTTGCTTGGAGTAAGTTATAGAAATTTTTCCTGCCAGTTTGGCAAGTATCTTAAAAAACCTGAAGATGAGGAAAGATGACAAAGGAACTCTAAGTTTCAGTTTTACTTTGGTTACTGCTGCTGCAGTTTGTCCAGAAAGGTTAACATAAACTCCTGGAACGTTAGGGTCAAGTCTTCTTATTTTCTCAATAGTTGCATACTGGTCTGTTTGTTCTCTAGCTTGTGGTTGTACTGAGTTTCTCAAAGCGAACCATTCATAGTTTGCCCATGTTACTGTTTGAACTAAGTCAGAGTTAGAATATATCTTATATCCCATGAAAACTTCTGGAGCATATTGGTATCCGACATAGAAAATTCCATTGCAACCTTTCTTGTCAGACAACTTGGCAGAAGGTTTTATTTCAATGTCTTGTTCCACGTATAAGAATGAGTTGTCAATAGAAATAATATGAAACCTGTCGCAAGCAATATCTACTGTTGTTGAAGAACCTTCTCCAAACTCACCTACGTTTCCATAAGAAACAGCAGTTGTATATTCGTAAGTTCCAGGAACTATTTCTGACCTTCTAATGGCATTGTCGCATTCGTTATACCATTCGGAAACATTTCCATTCATGGCATCCAAAACTGTTGGCGTTATATTCTGAGCGGCGTACATTTCATATGGGTAAAAATATAGAATAGTTGGATTTATGTGTCATAATAGAACCCACTCCGACCAAGCTTTACTTTCTTCCTGACTGAGTTTTTAACTCTTCTTTTTCCTTCATTGCCACTACTTTCACTAGATGAAGCTACTTCTTCACTACTTTCACTTTGTTCTACTCTTCTCTTCTTCTTTGGTGTCGCTTTTGGTAACTTGCCCTCTGCTTCAAGTTGTTGCATCTTTGCCTCATGTTCACCTAGTATGTTGTAAATTTCCCATGTCCTTTTTGCCTTTGGGCTCTGGTCGCCCATCTCAGGTAACCTATATCCTAGAAAGAGTTTGTCATAGTTTGTATTTGAGTCTTCGCGTATTGTTTGCATGACTCTTTCCTGAGTTTCCGGTTCAAGCTCTTCAAACAGTGCCTGTCCATATGGAATAAGCTCGTTTCCAAATATATGTTTTTGTAGCCATTCTGGTTTTCTTTCCATGTTACCAATAATATCCTTTGTGAATGGGAAAGCTTCTACCCAACGTTTCAGTCTTGCGTCATTTATTTCTGTAGTTTCCAAAGGAGGGACTTGTTCGTTTCCTTCAGGCTCTTCTAGCTGTTGTTGCTGAACTATTTCTTCCATGTCTGGTTGTATCTGAACTTCTTCCTGTGGAGTTTCTTGTACCTCATCTGCTGGCATTTCATATATTCCGAGACCGTTTTCAACAAGTTCGCTATCTAAGTCATCTGCAGCATAATGTCCTACCTGACTTTTCGTTCTTAAGAAAGCATTTACTAGGTCTGTTTTGGTCTGTTGTAACTCTTTTTCTTGACTTTCCACAACAGTTGCTCTAACGGCGTCATAGGCACTTTGAACTGCCTGTCTCGTTGCTGCATCTGTTATTTTCGTCATATTTTGTGCTACTTCTTTTAACTCTTTGTCGAAACCTTCAGACTTCAGTTTCTTTCCAGATGAGAAGTCGTTCACTAGTTTCACCTTACTATGAAGAGCTTCGAAGGCGTTCTTAAAGTCAGCATTCATTAAAGCTTCATTTGAACTGTCTTCATCCGCTTGTATTTTTGTCCTTATTGACCCTATAAGTTGGGCTGCTTTAGCGTTGGCTTGGGCATCTAACCAGTCATTGTTAGCTTTTATATATTCTGCGCTTTTCATTGCCTTTTGCATGGCTGCGTCGTTATTTTTACTTTCTTGTGCTAAGTTTTCATACTGTACGGTTTGGTTTTGCAACTGTAAAAGTTTTTCTGCCTTTACATTTGCTTCAACTTCTTTTTTATACTCATCGCTATCCATATATGTCTTCAGGGCTTTTTGTTTTATCTCTTCATCTTTCAGTACTTTATATTGAGTAGTATGGTTTTTCAAATTTATGACATCTTGTTCCATTTTTGCTACTTCTGCTGCTTTTTCTGACACTTTTTTCGCATATTGCTCTGTACTTAGTTCTTTCAGTTGTTCTTCTTTCTTCTTTTTCTCTACGTTTAACTCATTGAGTTTCTTTGTGTGTCTGTCATATTCTAGTTTCTTTTCGTTTTCACTTATTTGCTTCTGTATGTCTATGTTTGACTTTTTGACATCTGTTATTTGATTTTTGAGTGAACTCAAATTCATTTGACTTTGAGGGTTATAAGCTGTTCCGTCTGCAGCTCCACCATAGCCTGCCATTTTCGCTAAAAGTGCCGCTCTTAAACCTCCACTCTGTGCACCAATAACTCGGTTTAAAAGCATAGGATTGCTTGACATTTGTTGCAACATAGTGGGGTCATTCAGCATTTGTTGTTGCAACTGTTGTTGTGGTGTCAGTTTTACTTTTGGATGTTTCAATGCTCTCTTCCTCTTACGTATATTCTTACGTAGCTTACGTGGCATTTTAAGTGAAGTTAAAAAGCGGCTTTTGACATATGGAACACATACTTTTTCAGTAAGGACATATGGGGTAGAAATGAGGTTAGAAATGAGGTTAGATCTAACCATCTACCCTAAAATATATTTTTATTGAATTCTGTATAAAATTCTGAGTAAAATGACAGATGTTTATATGACACTTTCTCCAGTTTATAGGACCTCTCTCATATTCTATCTTGTCATATATAAACTCATAGTCATGTATGTCCTCTAACCATCTCATAACGGTTTCCAAACCACTTTTATCGGATGTAAAGTAAAAGCATGGATGGTTATGTAAAACGTCTAAAGTTTCTAAAGAGTCTCTCAAAGTCCAGTCTACTTGGTATTGAAAATCCCATGTGTTATAGAACGGCGGGTCCACTATAAAGAAAACATTTTCCTTGTCTTTATATTTTTCATACAACTCTGTCCAATGACATCTTACAAACTCTATACCCTCAATATATTTTTCTATGTTCTCTTTGAAAACATTTGTATAGTTAAGATATAAAACTTTTGACATAAGTGTTTCAATGTCATGAACTCTTATAGAACCACTATATAATAGTCTAGCAGATATACTATCCCAGTCTATATATTCTGCTTTTTTCAAAACCTCTCTCACAATATTTTTGTTATCTAATGGTATACGTTCCATCTTACCTATAGGTATCTTTTCTTTTAACTCTTTCAATATTTTGTTAGTGTCTGGAATATGTTTGAGACGGTTCATATAGTTGTCGAAGTCATTGCATATAATCTTTGAGTCTGGGAATATTATATGACATAAATGGGATATATAGAAACTTCCACCGAACAAATCTACAAATGTTAGACCATTCGGTAGTTTCTTAAGTTCTCTCAATATAATATCTTTACATCTACTCTTATTTCCAAAGAACGGTAACGGTGGTTTTGTAAAATTCATTTATATATAATAATAAAAATGTTTTTACCTGAAAAGTGACAGAAAAGTGACAAAACATGAAAATATATATAATTTGTGAAAAGCTCCTGGAAGCCCTCCGAATAAAAACTTCATTTATACTAAACATCTTCAGGGCTAGAGGGCACGAAGTGCCTGGAAGCCCCACTACCTTTTTTTTTTTTTTTTTTTTGTTTTGTTAAATTAATAAAGATTTACTTAGAATGAAACTGTAAAAATTTGTATTATTGATATTAAACTACTATAAACTAATCTGATTGAATAAAAATGTATAAATGTGTGTGAAAGAATTTAAAATTTGAGATTTTAAAATCAGCAGTTGCAAACATCTTCTTTCTTCGAATCTGGCATAAGTGGCGTTTTGTCTACATTTCCATTTGACGCCTTGAGCCCTTTCGAGATGATTTCAGTAGCGCAGCGAGTAAAAGCTTCTGAAATGCAAGAACCTGATTTAGCTGAAGCTTCCAAATAATGCATATGGTTTCTCTGTGCGAAAGCGTCGGCTTCTGCAAGAGATATGACTCTGTTATCAGCCAAATCTGATTTGTTTCCAATAAGTTGAATGACGCAGTTTGGATCGCATAGTGTATGTACGTCGTAGAGCCAAGAGCTGAGATCTTCAAATGTTTTCCTTTCAGTGAGATCAAATACAAGAATGACGCCAACAGCATTTCGATAATAAGCTTTAGATATGGATCTGAATCTTTCCTGACCAGCCGTATCCCATATCTGTAATTTAACTTTTCTACCATCTATTGTAAGCATAGTTGAATCAAACTCAACACCAATTGTTGATTGGGACTCCTCAGTAAAAGAGTCTTCAACGAGTCTCTTAAGAATGGCGGTTTTTCCAACTCCGCTTGCTCCAACAATAATAAACTTATAGCTAATGACAGAACTCATTTGAGTGAGAAAAGTGTCAAAGAAGTTCAGACAATGAACCATTGAAAAAAAAAGACTGAAATTTGCAATATTCAAAATATCTATAATATTAAATAAAAGTTATAATATGAATTCCACAAATTGATCAAGAACAGAGCAGGATATTAAGCACTTGCCACATTCTTTAAATTTCATATAACAAAAGGAAAATTCTTTATCAATACCCAGTTATTAAATTGCCTCAAATCAATTACATTAATATCAAAATATTGAGTTCAATATAGTTATAATTACTAAGAACAGATATAAGCAATTTACAAACAAACAAAAAAAAATTATTAAACATTAATAATTCAATAAGAGCATAGTTCTTCGCATGTAGCCAATAGCCCCATTTCTTTCATTGTAATATTATGATTATAATAATCATTTCTTTCTATGCAGTCAGAAATTCTTCCTCCGACACTTTTTGCAAAATCATCTCCCTCGATATTACACCCAAAATAGTCAATTCTGCAAAGTGTATAATTATTCATAATTGAATCAGCAATTACGCTTAGTCCAGCTACAGTATATATATTATTCGAAATATCAATGGATCTTAATGAAGAATTCAGCGAAAGTCCCTCTGCGATTTGCAAACAGCAGCTATCATCAATATTGCAATGACTAAGTGAAACTGAGGCCAAAGTTTTTGTGATGGCTAAAAGATCTTTAAATGCTCTCATCGCTTTCACGCATAATCGATTTTGCGATACAGAAATTCTCTCTATTGCTTTATTTTGTGACAAAGCACTGCATAAAGCAATAAATCCTCTAGAAGTCATCATCACATCATCAAGTTCGACATCTCTGAGGGTGCTGTTAGATCTGAATGTTCCGGAAAGCAATGCTACTGCTGCATCACCAAACATATTGCGGGAGAGCCTCACCGTGGTAATAGATTTATTATGAAGAAAAAGATCCGAAATGAGAACTGCTCCAGAAGCATCAATGTTATTATCACGGATATCAAGATACTGTATATGAGAATTGGATTCTAAAGCAACTGCAATTGGCCATAATCCGTTTGAATTGAGAAAATTTCTTGATAAATCTAAATTTTCGAGAGTTTTATTTTGTGAAATAGCAATTGAAAGGAATCCTGCTGATGCACAACTGAAGTTATTTGAGCCAAGATGCAATTTTTTAATGGATGTGTTGGAATAAATCATTTTGGATAGCGCAAAAACAGTTTCATCTTCAAAACCATTATATGAGAGAGCTAAAGTTACTAAAGAATGATTTGTTTTCAGTGAGTCGCAAAGCTTTTCAAGTAATGGAGTGGTAAGATTGCATTTCCATAAATATAATTGCTCTAAACTGCAAAGTGGATTTGATAGAAGCGTACCAAGCGAACTAATTGCTGGATCCTCAAATTTATCTTGAAGAAGAAGTGTTTTTAAGGATCGATTTTTTGTAAGAGAATCTGATATAGCAGCTGCTCCGTCCTTCCCGCAGCCACATTTTATTAAATCTAGTAGTGATAATATTGTATTTGTCTCTAGAGAGCGAGCAATTAATTGGATTCCTTCATCCGTAATTTGAGAATTGCCACGTAAGTCAAGCCATGATACTGGTGCATTTAAGCTGATAAACCGTGCAATTGATTTAGCTCCATACTGAGTAAATTCGTTTTTTCTTAAAATTAACGTTATAGGATCGCGAATTGAAGGAAGAGAAATGAGAATTGTAGAAAGATATTCTAGAGAAGAATCGTTAACACAATTATCTGAGATTTCAAGATAAATAATTTTTGGATTTGATTTCAAAAGATCAAAAATTTGCATGCAAGAATGAGTAGATAAACTATTTTTGCATAGTATAATTTTAGATATAAAGTAATTTCGGTTCATTGCTTCACAAAAACGATTTGTGGTACTATCATCCATTTCGAAGCCAGAAAGATTAACTGTGTTAATAATCGGATCGTTTTTTTCCGTTGAAACCATTATTTTGTTAAATCTTTCAAATGCTGGATGTTTTTGTCGATGGGGATTATCTGCCATCAACGAAAAAAATACTTTAAATAAAATTTACAAATTTTATTAATGGAATAAGGACGATGCATAGCTTTATTGATTCTGGAACAATTGGATAGAATAATATATTATTTAGTTAATAAAGAAGCTAACCAAATGTATTGGGGCTGTAGCATAATGGCATTGCGTGAGACTCCAGATCTCAAGGTTGGGGGTTCGACTCCCTTCGGCCTCAAATTTTTTCCCTTCTTATTCTTGAACGAAAAAAAATCTTATTTTTCAAATGTCGAATAAAGAAGGATTTTCAGCTACAATACCAGCAAAAAAGACTGACGAAGAAATCAGACGTGATTCTCTTCTTGATAAAGGATTAGATGAAATTGCTGCAGAAAAGCGGGAAATTAGAAAGAAAGAGCGCATCGAAAAGAAAGATGAGCGATCGAAGCCACGTGAATTTCGAGAAGATAGGCAAAAAATTATTCCATGTCGAATCTCTCGAAAGGACATTGAAATATTAGCTCATCAACAACGGATAAATTTAAATGGATATGATGTTTTTGTTGATGCAATATTAACTAGAAAATCACGTCGTTAACTTCTTCTCCAGTTTATGCGCTCATATCTTCAAATATCAAAACATTTTGAAAATTTATTAGGTAAAAAAAAAGCAATTCAATAAATATAAGACGTATAAATTTTGTATGACAGTACATTATTTACATTACTACCTGTTTTTAAAATATTTTTTTTGTTGTTATTGTTTTTGTTGATAGGACTTACTATTGCAATATAATGCATTAAGATTAATTTTATCAAAACTGATGTTAAAATAAGTACTCAAAATTATAAATGACTTTTCAAAATGAATTCTATATTGCCGAAAATGAAAACCTCAAGCGTCAACTAGAACAGTTAATAGATGCGAAGCAAAAAGAAATAAGGGATCTCCAGGATGTTTTTGAAGAAAAACTCCGGAAATTAAGAGAAAATTTAAAAAATGAGAATATTGACCCTCTTATTAATGAAAATAAAATACTAAAAGCCAAAGTCGAAGAGCTCACAGACCATTGTTGTAAGCTTGAAGTCGATAAAAACGAATTAATTAAAAGTATTAAGCAAACCCAAACTACAGAAAAAGCTCTTTATGCAGAACTAAATCATGAAAGGGAAATGCAAAAGCAAAACGTTCATGATTTTTCGGAATTCATTCAGCCTTTTGAGGATCAAATTAAGGAGCTTAGTGAACTTTTGAAACAAAAGCAAGAAGAAATCAATAACTTGCATAGTATTATTAACGATGAGTGCCAAGAACGAAACAGATTGCAGTCATTAATACTTTCGAAAAAATAATTTGCTAATGGTTCAAGTCGTGTTTCAAAATTTCTAGTAAATGTTAAACGAGTATTTTTGTTTCATATATTAGCTGTGGCATTTATCATACCTCAAAAAATTATATTTGTGTTGAGAAAACAGCTTGCAATATGAAAATCAAATCAATACGTGTATGTATATATAAATTACATCAAATTGTTTGTATACACTTAATGTCAAATAAATAAAAAACAATTTTCATATTTTTATAAATATTAACAGCATTTTCTGGATGATTGATTATCATTCTTGTCTAAAGAAACTTTTGGTTCTTCAAACCTCTCTTTGTTGTTTTCTAAAGCTAATTTAGCAGCGCATGTAAATAAATCATTGACACCCTCGCCAGTTTTTGCAGAAACTGAAAAAATGTTTTCGTATTTCTCATGTAATTCTTCTCTGATTTGATCAAGGGTTGGATTTCCAAGTTCGACCATATCCGCTTTATTCAAGGCAATTACAATAGCTGGATCTTCATTCGCTTCTTTTAGCCTTTCTTTCCAAGTTGCTATATTTTTAACTGATGCAGTATCAATACTTGAGGCAACTATGATGCAAACAGTAGCTCCACGAGCATACATTGAAACCAATGGAGCAAATTGTTCTTGTCCGGCTGTATCCCATATTTTAAGCTCTACATCATAATCCTCAATTGGAATATTTACTCTGATATGAGAAGTGCCGATAGTCGGAGCCATTTGAAAACTGAACTGATTACGAGATTGTCTAATAACCAATGAGGTTTTACCAACCCCAGAATCTCCAATTACAATTAATTTAAAGGAGATTTGCTTTCTCTCTTGAGTCATTTTATTATAGGGGGAGATAAAAAAATCTTAAAAATCCTTGATATTTATTTGTCGCTTATTGTGTTAGAATTGGGGATATTTCTCTTTTCAAACTATTTCTTTAAGTTACTGTTAAAATAATATCATATTATATTTTGTACGATGAATCGAATAACTTAAAGATTTCAAATTTGCATGATTCCATGAGGTTTCACAATTTATTTTAAAAATTCAATGGATAGATGTTGATTTAAAAAAAATCATCCTACAAATATGGCTATTTAGAATATTTAAGCAACACTGAAAAATTTACAATTTTACAGCATGATGAAATTTCAAGTAATTTGGTCTTTTTGAAAGAATAGTCAATTATTCAAAATACAAATGTTTCCTATTTACCTTTGCATTGCTTCTTGCTTTTCATATATCGGGCTTGGAGAAGAGCAATGTGATTTCAAATGTTGGATTCGAAAACTCAATATTTCTATTGATGGATTTAGTACAGAAACGTCATTTTTAGGTATTAAATACGAGATAGATATTAACAATATTAAAGTATATGGAATGGATTTGAGCTATCTTGATAGTGAATTCTATCCAGATCCGCATATTGTACAAAATGGGCTCGAGTTCGAGTTTGATTTACAAGCCTCATCGGATTTTACATTAGTGATTAGCACAGGAAGTACCAAACTTGTTAATGCTGCAATCCATGCAACAATTACAGAAGTTGATGCTCAAATTGGTTTAGATTTTATAAAGGATGAGTTTGGTTTAATCAAAGCTGTCATTTCTCCTGAAGACAGATGTTCCATAAAAATGAATTCAATCAAACTTGAGGCGCATTTCTCATCTGCGATCGAACAAAAGATTTTTGATTTATTAGATGGCTTTATTGAGAATCAATTAAAGCAAAGAATAGGACCAATAGTGTGTACCCAAACACATGATCTAATAGGAACTGAAATTACTCAAGCATTTGAATCCGCAAACAAGATAATTCGTCCTTACTTAAATGGAACGTCACCTATTGTAATACCCATTGATCCAGATATGTCTGATCTTAGGAAATCGGATATTGTTGATGTTCTCAGACTTGTACTTACAAATTTCACTGGTACGAATGGTCCTCTAAATCTCAATGCCCTAGTAAACAGATTTACTAACGGAATGGGAAAAATTAATCTTGCACAAATCTTGAATTATTTCAATTCCACCAAACCTTTAGAGATATCTGCACCGATTCCAAACCTTAATACAACCCTCAACCTTACGTTGCTTGACCTCAACCTCTCAGGCTTAAACACTTGGCAAGATTTTACAATTCTTGAGCCAGAAAGTGAATATATATTAGACACTCATACTGGAATGGATGCTTTAGGTATCAACTTAACATTTATGATTAATGTTTCATTTAACGGCACAACAATCTCCACCGGCGATTCTTATCTCTCAGAAATTGGAGATCTAGACCTTTATATCACTAAGAACAAGATGATGATGAAAGCTCAGATTGCCCACAAAAAAGACTATGGCCTGAATTGGACCGATCCACAATGCATCAACCTAGGTTGTATCGAATCACTTCTTTCTCCGCATGGAACAGGCCTCACTTACCTCTTCTTTAACACATCTATTGATAGCCTATCTATTGAAGCTGGTACTGGTGATATGGAGGCAGAAATTCGCAAATTCATAAACAATATTGTTAAGTTCTTTGTTGACAACTACAGGCCGATTCTTCCTACATTTGTCACGTCTTTTGTCAACAGTTACGGTACATCCAAGCTGAATGCACTTATCACAGAGGAACTCTCAAAAGCCGACTGTAAGTATATTGCTGAGGATCCATATAAAGATTTTGTTCTTTGGACAACAGTTACAGCTGCATCAGGTGCACTCGCCATCTCTCTCATCATTTTCCTGATTATGAGGCCAAGCCTTCAGAAGAAGACTGAGTTAGAATCCAAGATTAAGTCGCTCGAGTCATTGAACTCCCTATCCAAGATAACTGAAGAAGGTTCCATCAAAGGCTGTTGGGGAAAGTTCCTCAGGACAGACGACCAGAGCTCCCTTTTAATGACAAGTAAGCTTTCATCAACAACAAGGATATTGATGCCTCTCCTGGTTCTCCTCAACATTGCTGTATTCATATCATCAAATACGGGCATTGGTGCTTCTGTTTTCTGTAAATTTATGATTGGAACCGACAAGCTTGTTTCCCTTCCATCAATTGAAGATTTCTCGCTTATCAACTCAATTAAGGAGATGTGGGAGGCGAAGACGTACTTCCTCTCTGTCCTTATTGCCGTCATGTCTTGTGCATGGCCTTATATGAAACTGTTGATGATGCTTGGATGCTGGTGCCTCCCGTCCCCGGCTATGAAACCTGAGAGAAGAGAGAAGTGGCTAAGATTCTTGGATGCACTTGGCAAGTGGAGTTTGGTTGACTCTTTTGTCATGGTGTTGATGCTCATTGCATTTAATTTCGATCTCTACTTCCCTATTATATCAGGAATGATCGATTCTCCTTTCTCCATCCATCTCTGGGTCTACCCAGCCTACGGATTTCTCACACTGATGCTAGGTACTGTCATCTCTCTTGCCCTTTCCCATGTCATGTTAGCGCTTGAGAGAAAAGTTGACTCTCCTGAAGAAAAGATTGAAACAGAAAGTCTGAAAGAAAAGAACTCCCTCGCTAAATACGTTAGTAACAAGTTCTATAAGGTCATCCCAGTCATATTGATTTTGATCAGCGGAGGATTACTTGGTATTGGCTTAGTTTCTATTTCTTTCTCTTTCAACTTCGTAGGATTGGCTGGATATGCACTCAATTTACTCGATACCCCTCATGAAAAGCATTACTCCGTAATTGACTTGGCTCTGAAGCTTCCTGATGCAGCCCAATACCCAAACTCGTTCACAATTAGATTCACTCAGGCCCTCTACATTGTGATCGCTATCATAATGCCTATAATGCACGTTGTGACTCTATTCATTATGTGGGTGATCCCAATGACGTATAGAGCACAGAAGAGGATATATGTTGCAGCAGAAGTTATGTACGCTTGGGCTTGCTTAGATGTTTTCATCATTTCTATTTTAGCTGCAGTTCTGGAAATTTCTCAATTTGCAAGGTTTATGGTCGGAGATAAATGCGATCAAATTGATCCGATTATAAAGATGTTCTTCGCAAATGAGCCATTAATAAACGGTCATGAAACTTGTTTCGATGTTGTTACTACCTTGAATGAAGGCTCTTGGTATCTTTTCTCTGCAGCAGTTGCGCATACAATCGCAACACTGTTGGTGAATTTCTTCGCGAGAAAAGCTCTCGATGAAAGAAAAGGAAAAGCTCAATATCAATCTATTGTTTAAATTTGAATATAAAATTAAAGCTTGTATTATTATTATATTGGATTTGAAACAAAAAAAATTGTAAAATTACAAACATTTTATTACATATAAAATAAGAAAAAAAATTAATCCATTGATGGACTAAAAGTAAAAGTCTCCCCATCATCTCCGGTATCCGGTATGCCATAATCCATAATATCCTGACTCATCATGTTCGAAAACGGATTCTGCTGAATAGAAGTGTTTTGATTTTGAGTCATATTCTGTGTAGGCATATTTTGGGTTAGTGGCATTGGTATATTTTGTGGCATCTGCATTTGTTGCTGCTGTTGTTGCAAATTCTGCTGCAACTGCTGTTGAGTTTGTTGCATTTGTTGTTGCTGAAGTAGGTGATATTTCTCAGTCAATTCAAGTAGCTGAGGTTGAGGATATTCCAAATTTCTTGGTCTGGATCCTGTCTGTTGCTGTTGTTTCTGTTTCTGTGATTTGCTCTGTCTTTGTTTCTTAGTCGCCTTCTCCTGTTTTTGCTTTTCTTGCTTTGGAATTTGCTGACTTTGGCTTTGTTGGTTCTGGATTTGCTGTCCCTGGTTCTGGTTCTGTTGTTGTTGCATCTGCATGAACTGGTTAGGAATTGTTATATCAACAGACCCTTGCATCATCTGAAGCCATTCTGAAGCAATTTGATTTTGGTTTGATTGTGGTTGGTTTTGCTGTTGATTCTTCTGATCATAAAAGAAACTTTCGTCATATTTTTGTTGCTGTTGTTGTGGGAATTGATTGAACTGACTTGTATTCTTCTGCATGAATGCATTTTGTTGTTGCTGCTGCTGGGCAAAACTATTCATTTGGGCCATGAACTGAGCTTGTGGCATGTTGAACCCTTGCATTACTTGGGAATAAGCGTTTGACTGTTTCTGTTGGTTCTGCTTCTGGTTCTGATTGAATTGGTTCTGTGTTGTATATGGCGAAACTGGTTGCTGAGAATAAGGACTCTGTGCAAATGATGATTGGGAAGGACTTTGCGGCATTTGGTTCTGATTCTTCTGGGAGAAAACACCAGTTTGGTTCGGCTGAGGAGTTGATGGAACTGTCCCGAAAGAAGGGGATTTCATCATCGGTTGAGGAGCTGAGCTTTGCTGATTCATTCCAACAAACATCTGGTTCTTCTGATTGTACTGCTGGTTGAACTGTTGGCTTTGCTGGTTCTTTTGTTGAGGAATTGGTGCGCCACTCTGTTGTTGGGATAACTTCATCTGGAGGTATTGTAGATGTTGCTCGTTCATGTTCGATTGGCTTTGACTCTTCTGAGCCTTCTGTTGATAGTTTTGTTGTTGGTTTTGTTGTTGTGGCAAAGGAGATTTTGATGGATTCTGCTGCTGCCATTGGTTGGGCGTTTGCTGTTGCTGCTGAGGCAAAGGTGATTTCGCTGGATTTTGTTGGCTTTGTCTTTGGTTGAATTGGTTCATTTGGTAATTTTGCTGGTTTTGACTTGAAGTTGGTTGGTTTTGTTGTTGCCAAGCCTGTGTTTGGTTTGATGATGCTGACTGTTGCTTGTTCATCTGTTGGTTGAGCTGATTTAATTGTTGTTGCCATATCTGTTGCATCTGCTGGCTCTGAGAAGCAGCTTGACCTTGTGAATTCTGCCAATTTTGTTGCATTTGGTTTTGATTTGTATTTTGACTTTGAGTTTGTTGAGGCTGTTGCCAGTTCTGTTGCATTTGATTTGTGTTCTGACTCTGTTGCTGAGCGTTTTGCCAATTCTGCTGCATTGAACTTTGATTTGTATTTTGACTTTGATTTTGCTGAGGCTGTTGCCGGTTTTGTTGCATTTGATTTGCATTTGAATTCTGTTGTTGAGGATTCTGCCAATTTTGTTGCAACTGGTTTGTGTTTTGATTTTGATTTTGTTGTGGTTGTTGCCAGTTCTGCTGAATCTGATTTGTGTTCTGATTCTGTTGAGTTTGTTGCCAATTTTGTTGCAATTGATTTGTATTTGAATTTTGATTCTGTTGTTGTTGCCAGTTCTGCTGAATCTGATTCGTGTTTGGATTTTGATTTTGTTGTTGGGAGTTCTGCCAAGTTTGTTGGATTTGATTTGTGCTCTGATTCTGCTGTGGTTGTTGCCAATTTTGTTGTAATTGGCTTTGGTTTGTGGTCTGGTTCTGTTGCTGTTGAGATTGTTGCCAGTTTTGCTGCATTTGCATCTGTTGCCAGTTTTGCTGATATTGCTGTTGCCATGAATTTTGGTCTGGTGGTTTCTCCTGTTTTACTTTTGTTTGCGTTTGATTTGGTTGCTGCATCATATTCCAGTTCTGGTTCCTTTGATGCATTTGACCTTGCTGATTCTGTTGTGGTTGTGTTGGAGGGAGGGGGAGACCCTGTATGATTGACATATCGATTCCTTCGAAAATTGAGCCAAACACTTTCTGTTGTTGGTCGCCAAACTGTGGTGTATTCATTTGTGAGAACATCATCTGGTTCTGTTGTTGGCTTTGTTGTGGTGGTTGTTGCCAGCTTTGCTGGTTCTGGAAATTTTGATAATTTGCGTTGATTTGCTGATTGGAGAAACTCTGTTGGATCTGATTGTAGTTGTAACCTTTTTGTTCTTGTGTTTGTTGTTGCTGCTGAAAATGCTTATTTGATTTCTTTTGTTGTTTTTGGGAAGCCGAATTTTGCTGCTTTCTTTGCTGTTTCTGACTCTGACTTGTTGGCTTTTGTTGTTGCTGCTGCTGTTGAGGAAGAGCTTTGGGTTGTGGTATCGACTTTGTTTGCTGTGGTTGTGGCTGTTGTATTGGCTGTGGCTGCTGAATTGGCGGTTGCTGAATCAGTTGCTGTTGAGATGGTTGAGATGGTTGAACTGATTGTTGCACGCTTTCTGATTTCAGAATGTTCCTTAGAAAATTGTAAAAAGCGTTGTCAGTGAAAACAAACTGAGGAATGTTTGTGTCATTAGTCTGGCTGATTGGCTCGTTTGATTTCAGTTTTTGTATGTCTTTTTGTGTCAAATGTTCGACGAAGCCTGGTTCCAAAAGAATTTCGCGCGCAAAAGAGCAACCGTATCTTGTTATCATATCCAAGAACTTCATAAGATCGCCATATGTCATCCAATTATCTTCAACGATCTTCCTGCTGAGTTGTTCTGGTGTCCTGCCGCTGAATTCCTTATATACAGAGTTGATGTTTTGAACAATAATAATTCTTCTGAGAATATTCATATTTTCGCTTGATTTGATAGTGAATGTTTGAGATACATCTGGTGGTGCTTCGTTAGAGTGTGCCTCTTCTTCTGTGATGGTGATTGGTCCTTTATCTTTCTGCATCTCGTGGAATTTTCTGACAAGAAACTTAACAAAAGCAACCACATTATCTGGAGATTTTGATAAAAGGGCTGTCTTTTCTACAATTGTTTTGTTGTCAACAAGCATTACCATTCCGAACTCTTTTAGGGTGTCGACAACTTGTTTTATTTCGACAGGCAACCAAAAGTTAGTCTGGAAAGAAGATACTGGTTCGTTCCTGGATAAAATCACACTTCTCATTCTGTGTAGAATGTGAATGACTCTTGTTTTATCCTTTATGTTTATGTCGATGCCTTTGATAAGCTCGTTCACCAGTCTTTGGTCTTCCTCTCTTGTTCTGCCTTGGAATGGAGGAAGTATTTGTAAGAGTAGGTCGTAATAAGGATTGCGAGCAAACTCTTTAATCACTAAATGGTTCTCAAGAGACATCAAAAATCTTTGAGCTGTTGAGAAAATGTGATCATGAATATCCTTACATGCTTTTGACTCTTGTGCCAATACGGACCTTCTGATAAATATGTTAAACCATTCTGCTTTGTTGGTACAGAATGCAGCTGTGTATGTCAATGGCTCAATACTCTTCAACAGTCGATTCATTAACAGAGGAAAAGTCATGACTTTGGATGGTTCAAGAGCTCTGAAGTGAAGCAATACAGCGCCGGCACAGAATTTTGTGAGTTGTTCTATTGGACAATATCCATCAATTGCTTGATGTATTTTTTCCCACTCGCCGAAACCATAGTATCTCAGCAATCTGAGAATTCTTTTGGCCATCTTACCGTCAATTGTCACGTGGACGGTGTTTGGTCGTGCTTTTTGTTTCCTCGAAGATGAATTCTGTTGATCAAGAATAGGGAATTGATTGAGGAACTGTTCGTTCGTTAAACCGTGGGTTATATCAATTTTCGGAAAATTCTTCGAGTTAATTCCGCTGAACTTGACATCCTTAGTGATTGTTGCGGATCTCTCCATGATACTATCAAATGTTTCTCCTGGCATCACTGTGAATGGAGTTTCGAGAATTGGAGGGACGGGATAGATAGAGCTAGTTTCAGTCACTTGTTCTATTTCCTCATCTGCTTTGATAAAAGTGCCGTATCCCTCAAAGTCAATACCGCAAAATCTTGGTTGTGGATTGATCATTGACTCCAATTTGACTGAGTTCTTCTGTGATCCATCGATGACGATTGCTGGAGGAGGGCGTGATGCCTCTTGTATCTGCTTTCCATCACCCAGAATTGAGTTCCACAGTTTGAGCTTCCTCTGGGATCTGATATACATTTCGTGTTCGTAAGTGCCAAAAGTTAGAAGGCGAATGACGTCAACCTTCTGTGTCTGACCTATTCTATGGCATCGTCCAAGTGCTTGAATGTCGTTTTGTGGGTTCCAATCTGGGTCAAATACGATTGTGACGTTGGCGCGTGTCAGATTCAAGCCTTCCGCACCACTTCGCGTTGAAATTAGGAAAATGAAAGCATCACCAGAATTATCACAGAATTTTGATATTGCTTCTTTCTTCTCCTGTTCACTTAAGTTACCATTAAGGATTTCATATGTGTATCTCTTGAGTTGGCAGTATTCTTCGAGCAATTTCAGAACCTTTACCTTTTGCGAGAATATTAGAACTGATCTTCCCTGTTTCTTGAAGCATGGAAGAACTCTGTCAAGGAAAATGAATTTAGCTGATGTGTTGACAAGCATGTCAAGTTTTGACACTCCTGGATTTCTTGCCATGAAATAGTCTTCTACTCCTTCTATTAAAAATGGGTGGTTACAAATTCTCTGGAATGTGTTTGACTCTTGTAATGAGTCTATTTCGCCACCATTTTTAATTCGACCGAGTTGGTGGAGTTGTGTCAGTCTGATTAAATCCTCTTGCATTCTTGTAAGGTGAAGAAGTGCTATTCTCTCATCCTTTGGAAGCATCGTTGTCTCTACATCATTTAGTGATCTGCGGAGTAGGTGTGGTGCAATCATGTTCTTGATGTGAGAAACGATTTCCACATCGAGTGACTCAACGTCATCAGTTGGAAATGCTGAGCCTTCAGGGAAGTATTCTGGAGAAACAAACTGTAAAAGTGTCCACAGTTCAAGCATTGTGTTCTGAATTGGAGTTCCAGTAAGAATTATTCTGTTCATCGCTTTAACAGTGAGAAGGGCATTATGTTTCTTACCATCACAATTTTTGATGCGGTGTCCCTCATCTACGATGATGTTCTGCCACTCGATTGTAGAGAAGAATTCGATATCTTTTAAGAAAATATCGTATGTGACAAGAAGAACGTTAAATCCAAACTTGTCTTCTTGTTTTACTCCCATATCATTGAAAAATGGCATTTGGTATTTTTGTATAACGCTGCGAGTATCTGGCAATCCTGTGTATGAGACATATTTTAAATTTGTCCACTTCTCGAGCTCCGCACACCATTGATCAAAGGTATTTGTACCTACTGCTATCAAGTTTGGCCCGTGGAAGTCTGTATAACGATTTAAGTGATTGAGGTAAATCAACGTTTGTATGGTTTTTCCAAGCCCCATTTCGTCAGCAAGAATGCAGCCATGGTTTGCGCAAAAGCAAGAGAGCATCCAGTTGATCCCTTCGAGTTGGTAATTTCTTAACGTCTTTCCTTCCGTAGAAACATAGGATTTAGCAACATCTTCTGTCACAACAATTTTAGATGGACGAGGTGGATGGGTATTTTCAACGCAAACCCTTGTTTGCAAATAATTTTGGATTAGTAGCTGGGGAGAATTGACCGATACAGGTTCCCAGAAAAAGCTTGAGCCTGTTTCTGTATTTAGCATATATAAAAATTCGAGGGACGAGTTATTATTTGTACCTATTAGACGATGAGACAGTATTTTGAGAATCGATTTATAAGAAGTATTAATATTCGGGCTGTTGAATGAAAAAAGAGACCTGTTACTGTTTGTTTCATTAAATTTCTTTTGCTTGGAGACAAAATTAGGAAATTCTTTAGCTATCTCAGATGGAACCCACGTTGAAAATTGTTCTTGATTTTGGAAGAGGATAAGGTACTCGAGACCATTTTCGGATATCCTCGATGTGAAAATATGTTCTATTTTATTTTCCGCATGGGAATAATGTAGAGATTTTTTCTGAACTTGATGCTTCATACTATTCTTCTGCATTGACATATCTTGCATATCGTAGTTTAGTTTTGGATTTATGGCGTTAAATTGATTTGAAAAATTATACTCAGAACTAGAAGAATAGTTGGGAACAAAATTCATAGCGCTGAAATCAGAACCATCTGATTCTGTATGATTATTCATATAATTATCATCAGGATTAGTACCGGTTCCGCGTTTCATCCCTTCTAAAAAACCAAGGGATTTAAAAAAAAATTTTTTTTGAACATGTTTGGCAGGACTCAAACAAAACGGACTTTGATTTAATAAGAATCATCTGGAGGCATTTTTTAGTTTGTTTGTTTATTTTACGCTATTTCAATTTCTGAATGGAATACTTTACAAATTCTCAAAATATAGATTTTTATTCCATGAATTGTGACCTGCAAATTTATCGAATTCACTATATTTTGCAGTTGTTAGCCAATGCAAATAATCGAATGAACGAACATTTTCCAGATTCTAAGAAAAATTCAGAGTAAAGGGAATGGATAATGATGTCATTATATTAAAAATGAGTTCCAGCATAAATTCTAAAACATGCAGCAAGTTCAAAAACTACATCATTTAAAAATTAATGTTAAATATTAAAGCGAATTGAATAATTGGAACTAGAACTATTATTTTTCGATTTACCTTAAACTGACGAGTTTGAATCTAATTAAGTGTATTAATTGCTTGTATATAACATGGGTAATTTTTCCTTAAAAATGAAATGGCCAACACGAAAGGTTTAACATTTTGGACGTAAAATTATTGAGTATGTAACGTTAGATTGTTAAAAAAAATTAAAGTATGGAAATAGGCATTTATATATAACATCTGTTTCTTTTCCGGCAAACCAACTATTCAAAACAAAAATGAAGCCAATTTATCTGCTTCTGTATCATTATGAGCAAATTGTTCCAAAAATTTTGATACGTCAATACAAACTGATGTCTCGGTAACTAATGTGCATATCTCAAAAAGCATTCTAATATCATCATTATCAATTACTTGATTTGCAATTTCAAATAGCACTTTAGCAGTTGTATGATGTAATTTTCTCTTTCCGCATTCTTCAGAAATTTTCAAGATATAATCAAACGGAACCAATTTGTGCAAATAAATTGGTCTTTCTATTTGTGCAATTCTCCTAACATAAGTTTTCACTCTTTGACTTACTTTATCAAAAGCATAATCGAACTGTGATGGAAATTCTTTTCTATTGAATGATTCCGAGAATCGCTCCATTTCTGTGTTACATTTTTCGTAACAAATATCTTCTAATGAATCTTTCAAGTCAAATATTGCATTGACCATAAAAGCTTCTTTCTTCTTTGCCGATATAACGAACTTTCAGAATGAAGAAAGCATTGTGGTGCATTCATTACTTAAAGATTCATCTGAGAGAGCACTTTCCCTTAGTTTAGTGAAAAATTCTTCTGCGTATTGAAGTGTGGAGTTGAAATTTGTTGTCATTTTCAGCATAGGAATTCCCATGCACTGGCAGAATCTTTTCAAATCGAATTTGATGTTCTGGCTGCTTTTTATATCCAAAGATGGCATAACTTCAGTAAGGTAATCAAACCCTTTCAATTCTGCCAGAGCCCTCCTTTCTTCGATGTTAACTTTTGATCGCTGCATCTTTGATTTGTTGCTATCGCCAAATATAGTTTGGCTTGCAGGAAAAGCAGCAGATGTTGTATGAATTGTGGGGAGTGTCGTGTCTGATCCGAAGCCTGTTGTCGATCTGCGGATTAATTTGTACTTTCCTTCTTGGAAATCAAATATTGGCGCAGCTGGTGGTTCAATCTCCTTAGCAAGCAAGTTCAATGGGCTGAGAAGTTCTTCCTTTCCATCAATAACATTCTTAAATTCAGTTCTGAACCACATGCCGTATAAAAGCTTGCTAGCCAAAGCCATAAAAACTATCTTTGGAGCTTTCTTCATTTCAAGAACAAGCTCAATCATTCCAGCAAACTCAATTGCGCCATCAACACTTGATAAGTTCTCGTCTCTGACAAGAATTGATTCTTCCCAAATTTTAGTGTATGTCTCTTTTGGAGGAATTTCTTTGTTCTTGAAATCTTCAACAAGTTTAGATCGGTGGTCTTGTTGAGAAATGACAAGAGAGAAACGATCAATTGCATTTGATGTAAGTTCGTCTAATTTTGATGAAAGTGAATTAACCAATTTTGATTGGTCAGCAATTGTTCGGCCAGGAGTGAACAAAATTTGCTGCCAAGATTGCAATGCAAGGTATGAATGTGCCGCAAGGAGCAGCTCTTGTGGAGAAACAAGATGGGAGCATGGTCTCATTGTCGTATATGGCGATATAAAGTCATCTATCTGCTCGATAATTTCCCTAAAGTGTTTTTTGGTTCTTATAATTAATGTTGATGTTGATTTTTTGAGAGAACTCTCTAATGCAGCAAATTGACTGATTGTTTTTTGGTTTTGTTCATATTCTTCAGGAATATTATAATTGACCAACCTTGATATCACCTCTTCGAGACGTTTCCCAAAATCAATTGGAGGTATTCCTTCTAATTCCATGAAGCTTGGAGAATTGAAATCTTGAGAAAAAACGTGACCTGTAATTGGATCAACGTATCTTTCCATGAATTTTTCTGGAGTATGCATTGAAAATATTATGCCTGATATTGGCTGCTTGGATTCTTTTGCCTTCTTCCTCGGAGATCGAGGTGATTTTGGTATTGAATCGGAATCTAAAGATGAAATCGCTTTTTCTAAAGCTGAGAATTGAGCTTTTGTAACAGGAAATCCTGAAAATATGTAGCCGTAATTTTTATGCTGCTCATTCATTGAAGAAATTATTTCGGAAATAATTTGTTTATCATCAATATATTGAAGGACTTTCATATTCGGAAGAGGATACTTTTCTTCCAGTAGCACTTCTGGCTCTTGAGTTTCTGTTTTGGACTTTTTCTTTTCAGTGCTTGCCCCAAGAACTTGTATTATTGTGACATCAAGCGCTTGGGAAAGGATGGAACATATTGTTGTCTTTCCACTGTATTGTGGTCCAGTCACGCAAATATTATAAGGAAATGTGATATGTGGCGTTTTGTAAGATGTTAAGTAAGGTATTACGTTCTTTTGAAGGATTTGAAGACAATTATTCATTTTAGGAGATGCATCTGATATTGAATTTTCGTTTAATGGCATACCGAAGAAGACTGCAAGATCTGAAAAAATGGAATCAGAAGAAATATGCAAATAGTTTTCAATTTCAAGTGAGTGTAATGGACGGAGTTCACATTCATACTCGGACTCTATAATTGTCTCCCTTTCATCGGGTAAATAAAAGCCATTTCGGTATTTTTCAGTGTATCTCATTTTTTCTTTAGAATGAGAATATTGTGGATTAAATTGATACTCAATTGTATCAAATGCATAATCAAAAATGGATTCAAGTTCTGATTGGCAAATTTTATAATGTTTTTGGAAAGATCTTTCTTTCCTTTCAGCAGAAAGTCGCTTATGGAGATCTTCATCTCCTCTTTTTAGTATTGGAATTTTGTGAATCCAGTCATGAGGATCTTTTTCTTTTGGAATATTGGAATAATCTTGAATGGAAGATTTTAAATCTGAATCAGTTGGTTTAGAATTATTCTTTTTATCAGTTAATTTTCGAGGAATTTGTTTTGGCATCTTTCGAGCAGACATTTAAGAATTTACCAATTATTTTCCGACCAAATTATTACTATCGTTGGACAAGATAAAATAAAATAAATATTGCGAAACATATTACAATGAGTTATGGATTAAAAATTAATTAAAAAGTAAGATGTAGTATTGAAGTTGAGAAAAAATTGGATCTAGATTCTAAAGTTCAAAAATTTTAATATTATAATTGTCATATACTATAAGATTAGATACATTTGTGATAATAATAGTGGGAAAATTAATGAGACAAAAATATCCAAAATATTATACGAAATCAATATTAATTTGATTCAATTTTGAAAAGAAAACGGATAAATTAATAAAAAACAATTGCATTAAAATAAAGATTTTAAGTATGTTTATTAAAGAGAAAAAAAATAAATTTTTACAGTCTAATTCAATTATTCGAAATCCATGAAAAATTACAAAATCTAGAGAATTTAAGATTACCAAATAATGAAGGCTAATAATAACCACTAAATATAAATCAATCAACTTTCATATTCAATTTAAACGCACAACAAAAAGTAATAAATAAGCTGAGAATACATAATTGAGTTAATATTGAACAATAGAATTCCATTTCGGTTTTCGATTACTTGTATAAAAATTTTCATACATTTGATAAAATAATACATTATTTTTTTCTAAATATTAATAATAACAACTACGATTTGATATAATTTTATGAATGAGCGGTTTAATTCAAACAGCGGGTGGTTTTTATCAAAAAAATAAGTACCTTCGATTTTCAATTAGATTTTCTATCACTTCATTTAGATGTTTGCACTATTGTTAGCTGCATCTCTTTCTAGTTTACTAGATGAATACGTTAATGAATTTACTTCTCAATTAAATCTTCCTTTGTTTACCAAAAGGAGTGAAGAAATCAAAAAACAATTTCAAGAACAGATGAAAGATTGCAACGGAAAGTGGTTTAGCACAGCCTTATCTCTTAATGATTTCTATGATGCAAAAAATGAGTTCAAAGAGATCAAAAAAGGGGAATACTTTTGCATTTATGGTCCAGCTCTCATTGCTGCAAATGCCTCATTTAAGGTGGAATCTAAATACCTCAAGTTCAACGCCGAGGGCGAAATCAAAGTTGAAGATGTTTCTATCAAGAATCCGCTTATTCTCACAAATAAGATCTCCGATGATGAAATTGAAATGAAGAATCCAGGAGAAATTATTTCCAAAGTAATGTGTGATGACGGTGATAATGGTTGTGACATTCAATTTACATATCTGCTTCAACCTCTTAAATTTAAGAGTAGCTTTAAATCAGATGACGTCAATTATGAATCTGATGTTGATTTCAAGGTTGTTGTATCAACAGAATCTTCATACTCTAAAAAATTTGACGCCTCATACGTTTTTGGATTAAATCTTGACATTAAAGGAAATCTAAAGGCTTCATTGAATGCAAAATTCCATTCACTGGTTCTTTTTGCAGCTGGAAAGAGTAAAAAGAAGATAACAGCCAAATCATCAAATGACGGAATCACATCAGTTATACTAAGTGAGAATGGAAAAGATGCTTCCGGAAGGGTTATTGGTTTCATGCCTATCCCGAATCTGACAAAATTGATAAAATTTGATCCTCAGATAATAACAGATTTTCTCACTACTTTTAAAGCCAAGCTCGGATTTAATTATGAAGGTAGTGTAGACCTTAAGATGGAAGAAGACAAAACCGCATCTGCCGATGAAAAGAATTATTATCCAGAAGGTATGACCTTTGAGGCAAGCGGTGGTGTGAAGACAAAAGATGATGTTGATAAAGGTTCGGGACTTGGAACAGGTGCGATTGTAGGAATAGTTATTGGCGTTCTCGTTGTAGTTGCAATTATTGTTGTCATCGTTGTTGTAGTTATAATGAAGAGCAAAGGTAAGGGTGGTGACTCTGGTGATGGTGATAAGAAATAAACATAAAAAATTATTTTTTTTTATGAATTAACTAATTTGAAGCAAATTGGTAGATTGTTGCATGGAGAATATATCTTGCTGGGATATAAAGATGTACTGTTCTCTGTCAGATTACTAGGTTTTGCATTTGGTTGTTGAATTTAAAATAGTATATATACAAATGTTGCGTTTTGAGCAGCGATTTAATGATAAAATAAAATCTCATATGGCACTAATAATAATTATAAAAGATCGAAAAATCGGAAAATTTTTCGAGCAAGTCGAGCCTTTTACCATGTACATTTTTTAGAAAAATTTGAACATTGTTTCAAAGATTTTATCATTACGATAGGTTCTGTTGATTTGCTAACTCACACTACAGCAGATGATAGCTTCATCTAATCCTCTCCAACCATATTGTCTACGGGAGCATCGGAAAATAGTAGGTCTGTCTCCCTGCAAGGTGCCATGAAGTTGACACAAATTGAGAACTTTTACGTGGTCGGTCAGAACCCTTAATTATTATGATTGAAGTGGATGAATTTTTTAATAAAGATTGCGACTAATATTGGATCCACTGCATTCAGTATGTATGATCACCTAGAACAGTATGGCTTTCTTATGTTTTTACACATTTAACTTTCCAATGCAACTACAATCTTTGTATTGTAGAAGAGTATTATTGAACTGCATGAAAATTTAATAATTTTTCGAAAACTATTTTGCAATAATCAATCTGTGAGGTAGTTCAACAAAACTTTCTCGCTCAGTTTTCAATTTTGCTAATGGACATATACTTACTACCTTCTATGGAATTCATATACATGGAATCGCGGAAATCTATCTAGACATTTTGGAGATATATTATTATCAAAATTATATTTCTTTAACTTATATGAAATAGATGTCAATTTTTTCAATGTATTTGTTGGGCATATTATATTCTGTATTACTTCAGGAGTGAAAAAAAATTAATAAATCTTACTTCAATTCCTTATATGATAAGATTGTCATCACAAATATATTCCTTATATGTATATGTGGGATCTCTTTGTTTAACAAATTATGCGATAATTAAACGTGTCAAGATAATTGAGAAAAGATTTAAATCAAAAATGGGTCTAACTTGAGTAACTATAAGAAAAGCTGTATACTTCATTCTACTTATGAAGTTTATATCGCATACTTTTTTTGTAACCTCTTGGTTGTTGAGAATGAAACAAAATTAAAGATGATTTCTGATTTATAATGTTTTTGGGATAAAAATAAAGTTTAAAATATATAAAAGATAGTAATGATTCCATTCATCGAGCTCAAGAACTAAATAATTTTTCCAAAAAAGATTCAAAAAAATCTGTATCAAAGTAAAAAATACAATTTCTATATTGAAATATGAAAAATGAAAAAAATTTGGAGATATAGATGCACATTATAATTGATGTTGATGCGAATTGAATCATGCATTCAATAAAAATTATGCATTATTACAAAAATTTTATAATTTAAAAATTTTAACTTATTTTAAGAGTTAAATTATTAAAGTTGTACTTGAAATCAACAAGATATAATGGATTTAGTATGTATTCAAAGTCAGAAAGAAATAATATTTTTTGTAGATAAATGAAAGGCTTTTCGTTAAAATTGTATAGGATGTTGGGATTAATAGGCACAAACAAGCAAGAAATTAAACATTCGAGTCTAAATTCATTAGAAAATCGGGAAATCTTTTTGTATAATCGTTTAATTGCAATTCCTAACTAATAAGTCTCTAGGATTTTTCTTGATATATCCAAAGAAAGTGAATTTTTTATTAAAAATGTTGGTAATGCTGCATTTATTTGGATCTTGTACCTATCCGATAAGTTGATTACGATAAAATCAGTCCAAATTTATGAACCTTCTCTTTATTTTGTAAATAAAGAATTGTCAAGTCCGTGAAAAGTAGAAGTAATAAAAATTTAAAATGGCTTTTCCTCAAAATGGCCCAATAAACTGGACCTGATATTTCAAGGGGTATATTAGTTTGTATTGGTGAAGCATTTTATTATAACAGCAGCGGATTCTGAGGGTAATTTCGTAAGATGCAAAATATTAAATTTTGAGATATGAATCAGAGTGTAGACTTATCATTCTAATGAAATAAAATCATGATTTTAAGTATCGAATTCTTGAATGATAAATTAAGGATGAATATGAAGTTCAATTTGGAGGTGCAATATTCATAAAGAATTGCCCTATCAATTTTTTTCCCTTCATCTATCGGCGCGTAGCGCCGCTAGATGATATATACAGGGGCTCTGAAAACCTGATAGTAAGACTCAAACCGGTATACATGGGCAAATGGCGGGTTATTTGCCCGCCACACTCAATTTGAACAATAGGTGGCGGGATATAGGTGGCAGGAGGGGAAAAATTGCCCTTACAAAAAGTGTAAAATTTTCTTTATTTTTTTTTTGAATTTTTTTGAATAGTTTACTATCATTTCATCATGGTATTAAACGAGAAATTATACTTTATTATTAAAGTTGATTCTATTTCTAAAGGAATTTGTGTTTTTAAATTTTTTCTAAAAAATCACTCTTATTTTTTTTCTCCGCCGCCCGCCACTGGCGGGCTCTCAATTAGGGTAATATAAACTATTCAAAATTTCAGAATTTGAATAGGATGGCTATGCCACCTTCAAAGATGAGTCTTTTAATGCAATAAAAATATTCTTTTGGGCTTCTACTTCGATATACTATTGGAGGATAGGCTCCGCCAAATGGCGGTCGTTGACCACTTTGAACGATCTTTTGTTATAGACCGAAAATAGATTTTTTCGGCTTTCTCTTCAAATAATTGAAAGAATGATACTATTATAGGTTTATTATATTATATAGCATATAATCATGCTATAGCCGAAAATTATAAGTTTTGAGAAGATTGAATATAACACAAATAAATTTGAATGTAAGTTAAATTGCTTGTTGTTTTTAATAGCTATTTAATGAGAAATCCAATATTGCAAAATTCAAATTGAATGATTGAAAGAACAGAAAAAGTCATTCTTTTCAATTTCGAATATGTTTCATTGTATTTATAATTATATGGCAAATAAGATATTTAAACTTGATTTTTGAAGGAAAATTCACAAAATTGAATAAATTCAAATAATTTTTATTCAAAAATAAACTAGTTATTTGAGTTTAATACTAATTACCTATTCAAACTACAAAGTTTGTAATTTAAAATATTTTGTGAGATCAGATTGAATTAATTCAAGGTTCTTTTCAAATAATATAAATAACCATATTACGCATTTTCGAACATTCTAAACCAAATATATAAAAATGGGAGACGAATGTTAAATTTGCTAGACATGGGGGAGTTGTCTGCAAAGTTTTAGCTCTTATCTCTAACAAAAAATTAATTTTTAAAAAAAAGACCGAATACGTTTCACAGCGAGAAAAAAATAAAAGGCAAGATAGAATTTTCTAGACATAAAGAAGTTGTTTACCGAGTTTTAGCTCTTATCTCTAACAAAAAATTAATTTTTAAAAAAAAGACCGAATACGTTTCACAGCGAGAAAAAAATAAAAGGCAAGATAGAATTTTCTAGACATAAAGAAGTTGTTTACCGAGTTTTAGCTCTTATCTCTAACAAAAAATTAATTTTTAAAAAAATGACCGAATACGTTTCACAGCGAGAAAAAATAAAACTGTACACTGATTTTCATTTTCATTTCCAGTCACTTTACTTATTATTTTTTCTTTTTTTCATTTTAATTATAAATTATTTCATAATACGTTTATTTACGTTACCATTTTCTTTATTCTTTTGAATTCCATACTAGACACTTATAGAATATTTTGATTGTTAACGTACTTCATTAGAATGAATCCTTATAAAGGGTATGTCGATCGAATTTACCTAATTGGTATTTCCAATCAGATTGAAGAAGGTAAAATGACATGGGAAGAAGCTTGCACCCATGTTCCCATCGCCCCAACCCTTCAATCAAATGATTTCAAATATTTAGATGTTTCAAAATCTTTTTTACAAAATCAATTTAGCTTACAGAATATCCCATTGCCTAAAGGCAAGAAAGGTCGTAGGGTCAATCCCTACGACCAAATCAAAGCTCTTGCTGTGATACATGACCACTGGGCCTTTCCCTGTGGTCAAACAAAACAATGGAAACGTTTGAAATTACAACAAATTGATGTATCTTATAGAGAAGTAAGTTAGTATGGTTAAGTTGGGTATGGTGGCACTGCGTTCCACCTTACCCAATACTTGTGAATTTGACACTTTACAAAACCATTAACGTATATTTTACAACATGAACGCAAAAAATAACTTAACCTTAAATATTTACAAAGCCGCCAACAATTTCACCTCACTATCGTTCTCACTAACAACTTCACTAATGTTCTCATAAATTTTCCTCAATATCTTCATCATCAGTGTTAACCCTATTGTAGTCATACTTGAAGCCATAAACTTTCTCTAACTTCTTAACGTACAATTTACATAACTTACCTTCGTCATCGTATGGTTTAATGATATAACTATTTCTATCTTTATAAACAGTCAATGAAAAGTCAACTGGTCTCGGATGTATTTGAAAGAACATGTTATGCTCAGGAAGGAAGAATAAATGTTTAAATGTATGTTTGTTATATGTTTTGATTTGTATGAGTTGCTTTTGTTCTGTCATTACATCCAAATAAAATAAAAATAAACTTAAAAATAAACTTAAAAATTAATGATATCACCACCCTCACACGTATGAAAACATAGCACAAAAATAAATTTAGGTGAAGTGGTGAGATCTCACCTCTTTTTTCACCTGTTTTTTCACCCGTTGAATTCATTACTTTATAACTCTCTTCCTTTCTCCAACTCTTCTAACTTCTTCCTAAGTTCAGCAATGTTGTCCTCATGAAGTTTAATCTTTCTCAAAATTCCTTCTTTATCTAATGGTTGCTTTATCTTTCTAAACTGAACTCTACCATCCTTCATAGTATGAATGTAAAAA